AGGGGGGTGACGGGGACAGTCCAGGCTCTGCTGAGTGCCGTGGCGAGAGGCCGAATCAACGCCGGGTCTGGGTGGAGCTGCCCCTGGTCTCCGGCAGGAGGGCTGAGGAGGGAACCCATCCCACCTCCTTCTCTTCCCATGGGCAGGAGCCTGTGGTCCCAGGCAGCCCCCCCAGTTCCTGCGTTGTTTTGGGCAGCACAGAACATTTCCTTGTTGTTAAATGTCAGATGCTTTAATGATCAAGATCTAAACATAAAACCATAATGAAATTAGTTGCTATTTCATGGCTGATTTGTGGGCAGTGCAGAGAGGGAAGGTTTTTGGAAGGGGAAAGGTTAATCTGCAGGGTTCTGTGGTGCTGGCAGATAGCACCAGTAATACCAGATGCTCACCTGTCACTCTGGGACATTTTTGAGTAAAAGCAAATCAACCTGGTGTCAAAGATGAATAATTGGGATTTCTTATATTAGTAATATTTATTTATTTTTAAAAATCTGCCAAGAAGCAAGATGATTGCTGTTTTCTGTGGTATTTTACTCTCTGGACATTTAACGCCAGTTTCAAGGCTGTGTTTTTATCTCTACCTTAATTGTAAACATATCTTTCTAAGAGCTTAGAAATCTGCAAAGAAAACATAAAATCTACTGCTCTGACAAGCCTAAGGATTCTCAAGGAAACATAGAGAGAGTGTCATTAGCCATGGGAAGCACAGTCAACTTCCAGCCTGTCCTCTGCTGTAGGTGTCTGGTCAGCAAGCTCATATGTTGCACATTGACTGGGCAGCTTTCTCCCCTGGTTTTCCATGGTTTCTATGAAGAGAGTAATAATTTGACAAATTACCTGCTTTTCTTTTGGGTCACTATGCTGCTTTTTTACACTGGAGAAAAAAAAATAAATAAGGACAAGTTATGGCCTGTGATGGGAGGGGCAGAACAGCTCTCTTCCCCTGGAGCTAATTTGCTAATTCTCCGCTCCAGAGGTAACCTCCCTCACTGAGCCTCAGGACGAAACAGGTGGGGAAAAAAACCTGAAATCAGCTACAAACAGGTTTGTTCCTTTGGGCAAGGATAAACTTTCCAGAGAGGCCTTGCAGCTAGAGGAGGGTAGATGGGTCAATTCCACGGCTGGTTCCTGCGGTGGCGCCTCGCAGGGCAAAGGGTGAAGGATCGGGGTGGGGGGCGTGGGCGCTGCCGCCCTCCCGACCAGGGTGCTGCTGCAGGAGGGGCTGCGGCACACCCCTGGCACCCCTGCTTTTCTTCAACACCAGTGTTTAGATCAGGGCTGTTAAGCACCTTTGCAACGCTCCGTGTGGTGTTCTGGGTGACAAAGGGCAGAGCCCTTTCTGTTAGTTTCATTTTGCAAATGAACCCAGAGCGTCCTGCTGGCCATCCCTGTGCTTCCCACCGGGGAGGGGAGCTGAGCGACGTTATTCGACCGTTACTTCAGGCCAGCAGAGGGGTCTTTGGTAATTCTGATTAAATTCATCTGCAGGATGAGAATTCTGGGTTAAGCAACCTGAAAATCAGAAAACAGTTCATGGAAGATTTCTTGAAAACATTTTAGTATGTGTTTGCTTAAATCACGTGGTGATGCTGCTGGGGAGGCCGCGGTTCAGCGGGCAGAGCAAGAGGGGTGTCAGGTTTGGCTCTCACAGTGCTGCTTGTCCCAGGCCAGCCGTGGCCCTGCAGGCTCAGACTTCATCGTTCAGGTCTCTGATGCTGTAGAGGGCATTTACTCCTTGCCCAAACTGTATATTCCTCTCCTGGTCTGAGTGCCAGTGCCACAGAGCTGCAGTTCAGTGCTGCTGAATTCCATGGAAGTTGGTACTGTTCAGCTCTTGGGAACAGCTCAGCTTCTGCTGCTGAGGCTTGTGGACTCGGCCGCTTTCTGCACTTGTGTGCAGGAGAGACTGAGCTTTGTGGAGAGAATGAAGGGAGCTGAGGACCTGGAGATCGTGGCAGCACGCTGAGCACGGGACGGAGTTTGGCACGGGGCGTGTGGGTGGTGTCGGTCGGAGGTGGCAGCAGCTCCTGTGCACACCACGCTGTGCCATCCTTGGCCAGGAGTTCAGCTCCGTTCAGGCTTCCTCACCCCTTCCTAGTGAGCTGTCGGGTCTACTGAAGAACGTGTGTGGTGCCTTCTCCCACCACACCCCATTGAGGGCTTCCAGCTGTGGGTAGCCATGGCCAGCACAGCTGTGAGGTGAAGGACCATCGTGAGCTACTTTGAGAGAAGGCACAGCCTCAACTGACCATCAGGTGCTTCACAGATACCTTTCCCCTTCCTGGACAATGTATCCTAAATGTGCTGTGTATGTCAGCGTGGAGTAGATGCTCACACAGACAGCTGCTCGTGCTGCACCTGACAAAGTGTTTCTTTTTATTGCCATGCTAAAGAATCCATCCTCGGGGGCTCCTCCTTACCCACTGAGGGTCGGTTTGGCTCAATTCTGTTTCGCCTCCATATGTTTTCAGTATGTAAACATCAGACTCCTGGATGATAGTGTGTTTGGACTCCATGAGGCCTGTAGGATCTAAGCATCAAAAAAAAAAAAGGAACTAAAAATAACAAAACCAAAACTGAAAAGCCCCAAGACCCATGTTACAGTCCACACTTTGAAGTTCTTGCTTCTCTGCCGGTGGTCAATGAAGCTGTGTTGTAAAGGCCTTGTTCTTGAAATGAACCAAACCAGGCTTTTATTTTCCTTTTTTTTTTTTTCTTGTTTTTTAATCCTTTCTTCCCCAGTTAAGAGTGCATCCAGCCTTGTGTGCCGCAACTCCTTCCCTCCCGCCCCCCCGTTCCCAAGCCCTAGGGAAACACAGGTGTCAGTCCGGTGTTGCAGGTCATGTTGTCCTTCCCTGGCAGCCGTCGGTCGTTGAACGTGTGCATGTTGATCACGGCGTCCGTCTTCACCATGACGGGGGGCTGGGGCTTGTGTTTGACCCGTCGCTGGCAGGTGAGCGACAGCCGGATCTCCTCGGCCATGGCGCTGCAGAAGGAGCGCTGGGGACAGCAGGGACAAAAAGCACCGTTACTGCTGGCAAAAGGTTCTGCTGACCTCTGGCTGAGCAGGAGAGCGCTGAAAGGAGGCTCTGCAGGGGCGGGCGGGAGGGTTAGGCTGCCTTTAAGGCACCAGCTGTGCTGAGTGGGACTTCAGTGATGCACCGGTGCCTGGCTGACCCCTCTCCCCTTTGGCAAGAATTGTACCTTTGACGCACTAAGTCCTGCAGAAGGCAGAGCCCCAGGCGGCTGCAGGAGTGCCAGTGCTTTGTGTGATCCCTGCTGGGGGGCTGGTGGATTTATGTGCTGGCAGTCAGAGACCTATAGAATCCTGCTGGGCTTGGTAGTGGGCAGTTATCCTTCATCTGTCTAGTCTGTCACATGGGCAGCTTGCTTTGATTTGTGGTCATGCACACAAATACACTTTCTGCTTACTGTGCTGTGACACGCCAGGAAGAGCGAAAACTGCAAAAGCAGTCTCTTGTTTCATGACCACTGATCAGTGACAGCGGGTGGGACGGGCTGTTTGTGTAAGTGTTGTGAAAAGCTGATGAGATAGTGTGAGGCTTCCTGGTGGACAGTGGCCAGTTCCTTGAGGCTCTTTGAACAGGACTGGGGAGAAGAGATGGGGACTTCATGCATGTACATATTACACCTGGAATGTGCAATGCGATTGTGTGTGATCTTGGCAAGCACATAGAACAGCCCTGAAAGGTCCCTCCCAAGACCTCTGTATTTTCATTATTTATGTGTTGGCTTGCTCAAAATTGCCTTACAAATGTTTACTTCTAGCTACTGCAGCAGCAGATGACCCTAATCAGAGTAGACATGGTTTGCCCCCTGCTTTGAGGCTGTCTGAGTGGGACAGAGCAATGAGCCTTAGGGGGCAGCATTTTGGGGGTGCTACACTGGACGTGGAGGCAGTGGAGGCAGGGCTGAACCCCTCTGCCCTCTCCCTGCCTGTCTCTGGGGTCAGCGTGCAAAATCCTCAACGGCTGGGCTAGTGGTGGGGCAGGAAACAGAGGAAGTGGCATGAAACGAGTACCTGCTCACGCTCCGCTGTTTTGCGCAGCTTGTAGATGAACTCCACCACGGCTACGAAGACAGACAGCACCAAGCCTGCTGCCAAGACAATGAAAATCCCCCCGATGTTTTGGATGCCCAGAGCACTGGCCTCCTTGTTCTCATCCTCAGGGCAGCCATTCCCCCGCCACCATTTCTCCTTCATTACGTGGAGCTTGTCCTCCTCCTGAAGCTGGAGGATGGCAATGGTGATCTTGTCCCTGTACGGTGACCCTGGGGAGGGGGAACACCATTACACACATAGGGAAAACAGGACAAAATTATGCAAAGTAGGCAATGTGTCTGCTCTAATCGGGGCTGCTCAGACCTCTCTTCAACAGGCAGGCAGCGTAAGCTTTGGTATTTGGAAGTTTGCTGTTGGGAGTGGATTGTCTGAGTCCGCTTACCTGTTGCATTTGTAGTAAGTAGCCCCACTCCAGGGTACCTACAGAAACCCCCCCGCTGTCACTTACCCATGGGAGTCCCAATCCCATAGCCTTTGGAGTCGATGAGCCCCCCGATCTGCGTCAGGTTGCAGTTCCTCTGGGTGATGTACTCGATGGTGGTTGACTCCATCAGCAGGGCGTAATCGGCGGTGAGCGTTCGCTGGATTCCTTCCTCGTTGTTCTTAACAAGTGCTGTGGGTTTGCTGCTCATGAAAGCCCACATTTTTTCAAACGTGGAAATCTTGGATTTCTGGAAAATGATAGCCCCCCCCAAAAGAAAAAATTAATCTTCTGTTTGCAAAACCTTGTGTCTTTTCAGGAATTAATAATAATACCTGTTTGAGGACAGATCACACAGTGGAACTATTACCGATCTGACCTAGTCTTCAGTATCTCTCTGCTTTCACTGCCCAACGTTATTTGGCTTCACGTTGCTGTAACAAGAGGCAAAGGTTCCAGCACACATTGTGCAGGTGCTCAGCAGAAAGAGTCGCTGCTCTGGAGCCCGTGAGCTGCAGGTGGGACTGAGCTGTCCCTCTGCTCCACGGGGTGCAGCCAGCCCTGCCTTGCTGCCCTGCAGGCCTTGCTCGTGTGGCCGGCTATGGGCACTTCTGCTCATGTGGAATGGTTTCCTAACCAGAATTTTGTTTGTCCTGTAATGTTTCTGCATGACAAGAGAAGACAAAGAACGTTTCAGGGGGCATGTTTTTCTCTTTTGCACATACTCTATTATATTTTTGTCTTTCCTCGAGCATTGCAGGGGAACATGTCTCCTCTGAGATACGTGCAACTGCCGAACACATTTACGTCTCCACGCAAACAGAACCGTAGAAATATTCAAGAGGTTTGTCTTAAGGCTAAAAATAGACATGGATGTTTTTTCACTATCAGCAGACGTTCTGTTAGAAAAGGAGAAATATGTTTTCTACCTTACTATTCATGTGAATGTTTTTCTTCTCCTAGATGTGTTGAGTGAGAAGAAATATGCTTATTTTATGTCTTTCCGTAACATTTGAAATATACCATTTATCGACAACCACCTTCTGAATTGTCTCTGTGTAGGTTGTCTCAAAAGACAGAACTGGCTTTAGCCTTGAAAGACTCCCCAGGAAGCTCTCCCATCGGCTCTCTCTTGAAGTGCTCCCCTCGCTGGTCCCTGTGTTCCGTGGGTGAATGCAGCTCTCACCACACCAGCTCTGTATGTCCAGTTGAGCCCTGCAAAAGTGCTGGATGTCAAGGCTTGTGTCCATGCTGCTGCCTGCTCCTTTATGTGCCATTCTTCTTTTCTGCCCAGTTTCTTGTTTTTCCTATATCTCTTTATGCCTTCTTATTTTATGAGAGGCAGCTTAGTCAGCCAACACCACCTCCTCCACAGCAGTACTTGGGGAGATGCTAGAGTTGGCTGGGAAGTTGGAGGGGCTGGGAAGTCTTTGTGCTTTGCCTTCAGCAGGGGTAGGTGCTCATCTGCAGCTGCACGGGCTGCCGCCGTGGCAGAAGCTGTGCTTTCTGGTTTAGCTCCTTTTATCTCTGTTTCAGGTCTCTGTCCTTCCGTAAGAAAGCAGGAGATGGAGCCCCAGCCCATCCCAACTGCTGCTGTCACATCACTCCCTCATTTTTTCATATTTCCCTAAAAGTGCCAGCATAGGTTCATTTGATAAAAACACTACAAATAAGGGTAAATTAGCTAACAAAAAATTCCCTCCTAGTGCTTTGTATTTCAAAAGCTTTGTCTGTCTACCTCCTTTTTTTCATCAAGTTTAACAAAAGTGATACAAAAGCTTAACACCCCAAGTGCGTCGGTGTCACGCGGTGACGAAGGCTGTCCCTCTGTCTTTAGCCCTGTGAACTCATTCTCCTGACTGAAGCAACCACGGACTCATTTCTTCTTGGTTAAAGCTCGTGCTTGTTATAATCCACTTGATGAACGTGCAGTAGTGGATGTTCCAGAGCAAACTTCATTCAAGAGGCAGGATAATCTCCCTCACTTGAAAATCTGGACCAGTGCCTGTAAGGTAGATTTGTGGCATCTATCAAACCTCAAAGAGAAGCAAAAAGTGCAGCCTCCAAAAGGATTATTAAATATCAGTGCATTACAATGGGTAATTGAAATGAACAGCACACTCGGCTAGCTGATAAGGACTTGTTTAACATTTATATAGTTCACATCAGAGGCCTCTGGGTTCACGGCTATCCCTTTCTCTCCTTCTCTTCCTGCAGTTAATGCTCCTTGGATGTTGACACAGAGCTCTTAAACAACATCAGTGTTCTCCCAGTTTAAAGCATAGAGCAAAATAAACTGGCAAAAAATCAATAGTCTGCGTTTAGTGAAGCTAATAGGACTTGCATGAGGCATTGTAGCTCTTCAGAGAACTTAAATTACATGAGACAGGGCTCCCTGGAAGAGAAAAAACACTTTTCTCTTCCCCTCTTAAATCACCACTTCTGACCAGCTGAAAGGACTTCACTGTGAAATGCCAGGAGGGGCTCAGCTCTCTCAGCTCTGGCTGCACCACTTCGAGCTCTGGGCATCCTGGGTGGGGGCACCTGTGGCAGGGGCGCCCCTCTGCCTGGAGCTTGCCACCAACCCACAGCTACCTGTTGCTGCTTGCTTACACGGAATGCAACAGGGAAAACCCTGGCAATTCGGGGCCGAGCCCCTCAGCAGGGAAGGGCTGTCCCCCCCTGGCACAGTGTGGTGGGTGGCAGTGGCCTCCTCCTCCCCAACGACAAGGCTCTGGCAGCTCTTTCGGCAGGGCCAGGCAGGCCCTTGGTGCAAGCGGGGTGGCTCGACACATGGCTCTGGTCAAGACAGTCTCAGGCTCTCCCATAGCTAAAACCTGCTACCTCCTCACTAGGAATTTATTTCCTATTAGTTTCTTCAACTTAGCTAACATGAGATAAAGAGTGCTCCTTTTCCAAGTGAAAATTCACCACCTGAATTCTCAGCACAGCACTGGCAGTTTGATAGACGGGGCTATTTGTTAAAAGTCCAATTTAGAAGCAATTGTCAGTCATTGTGAAAGCAGTCATCAATCAAAAATTGCAGGACCAGCTACGGTGCAGAGCGTGTACTGCTCCAGCTCACACCTAATTCCAGAGAGCTTCGACCACTGTACATTTTTTCCTATTAAGAGAAAAGTTTTTCCTTTCTCCCTTTCTTCCTCTCAGAACACTTCAGCCATGCTGCAGTGGTGGCCACTTATTTATAGGCATTTGGATGACATCACCTGAGAACATACCTTACAAATACGCAAAACCATCTTAGTACTAATGTAAAAGTAAAGAATGCACAGAAATTGTGTTTATTTTGCTGGATTTCTCTCCGTGTTTGCATGTGTGTACATTTTGTTCTGCTGGCCCTTCGATTTTACACTTAGAGTAATTTATCTTAAAAAATCCTTACTGGGCTTAGGTGCTGGTTTGATCCGACATTTGCTGGGCTGTGGCTAGGTGTAAATTTCTGCTCTGTGGAATCCCCATTTGCTTGTGTGGGCTGCAGAAAGGAAAGCTGCC